AAATATCTCTCTAACTTACAAAGACGACCTTATTTTACCAACCTCAAACAGAAGCCGTTTGTTCTACAGTATTATCCCACTTAATGCTTAACACTCTATTATGTTTGAACTTGGAGGCTACAATTAGCATCGTTAGCACAGATGTAGCTACCACTCGCTTACATGCTAACCCAAGCCTTAACATTCATTACGTTAGCTGATTCAAATCATAAACACATATAAAGTACTCGAATTTCACTTACCGCATTCATGCACCGTCTGTTTCAACCGCAGAGTGAGTCACAATAGTCCAATATAAGCATGAAGAATAGTCAACAAGGCACCAGCACAACAAACACGGCAGAGTTCAAGTTATGTTCCCCGGATGAGCTGAGCAGGCTGAGTCCCTGTAGCATCACGGCGCTAGCAGAAGACAGGAAGCTAACAGCAGCAGTCACTTGACAGAGCTGTCACTCAATGTGACCACGCCCTAATGTATGCATAACTTTAAGGCTTAATTTTAATTAAACAGATGAGTTGAGAAATAATGCAATCCCCCCCCGCCCCCAAAGTTGTCATGAAGGGGGAATCTAACTATACAGAGAATATGTTTTTTTTAACCACGATGTAAACATGTTTATTTCTGCTGTAAAGTTAGGCATTTTAACATGGGGGTCTATGGAAATTCCTGCCTTCTGAAGACTGCTCCTACTGGCCACTAGATGAACTGCAGTTTGAGGCACTTCCTTATAGGCTTCCCGGCTCTGCCCCAGAGTTTGCCGCTTGATTCACACTCTTCAAAGTTGATGTTGCAGTAATATGCAAAAAATTGGGAAATGTCCCAGGTTGTGTGGAATTGTAAATCCCGCTTAGAAAGGTTTCTAACGGAGTGAAATAACCGGGATGTTTCTAAGCGGCAGACCTGATAAGAGCTGTTTTGATTCTCTAGATCAGGGGTGTCCAAACTACGGCCCGCGGACCATTTTGAATCGGCTCTCAGCAAATTCAAAAAGTATAATGACTTAATTATAATAAACTTTTGCTTGTCTTATATTGTACTTCTTAAATATATATGTTCAAATATATTATATGCATGTGTTAATAAGACCAATGTTCAAATAAATTCAGTCAATTCAAGTTGAAAACGTGTTCTAAACTTGTTAGAACATGATACTAAGATGATACGAAAAAAGCCCAATAACAAATTAACATAACAACCTTGAAACATACCCTTCATATTTCCTCTCATTATAATCAATCTGAAGCTTCTGTTTTAAGGAATGAGCTAAATAAATGAAACCCTGAGCTGTGATGTAGGCTGTTTTTTTCTGAAAGCATTTTCAAGTATCAATAATAGTTTACCTACAATGGATAGATTTTTCGAACTTATAACTGAACTTACAAGGGAATATGCCTCTAGTGAGCGGCCTCGCCCTTCGTATATTTTTCTGTATGTGGCCCATCCCTGATGATAGAAATTGAAACTTCCTTTAGAATCTCCTTGGAAACAACTGGACCTTCCTTTACGAAATAAAAAAGAGAAATGTTTTCCCACAATACCTTGCGGCCGCAACATTTACCGTGACACAACATAATACAAGTGATCGTGACCGAGAAATGCAGATCATGTAGGTTACGGACACTTATTCAGCATTTTACAACTGATACCTGCAAAAATACCCTCCTGAGTAATGTGTGGATGGGTTTGGATCACCCCATAAAGTCAGAGGTTTCCTTGCTGCTGTCATTGTCGCGTTGATTAAGGTAAGCAACATAACTCTCTGTTCTAAAGTTTGTTTTGTTTGCTTATATGAATTGTTTATTGTAAAGTGCCTTTAAGTTCTTAGAAAATAAATATACTGTATAACTTTGTATGTATTATTATCATTATATTATTATTTGGTAGGTAATATTTGATTCTGCATCATCTCCTCAGTTGTGAGAAACCCTAATAATGATCTGTTTTGTCAGTTACCTCATGTTTCTTTACTTTTAATGTTACACTTATAACATTATCTCATAGTCACCAGCTCTGTTGTTTATGCATAATATGCATTAGACTGTATGTCTACAGGTTGTTTGTCCTGCAACAAATGCAATTGTTTTGTTTCTGTTTCCCATATTTAAAATCCTCTCATCCCCAATGTTGATTTAAACATTAGGACATTTATTTTTGCAACAAACATAAGTGAATTGTAAAGCTACTGTGTATGCTGGTTATTATTATTTTATGATTTTCCCAAATCGTTTTTTTCCAATAACCAACTTTCCACGTTCAATGGATTAAAGGAAATTGTGGCAAAATATTGATATATTTTAGATGAATGCTTTTCGGCCTGCGTTTGTTCTTCTGTCCCTGCTGCTGTTATCAGAGCATATTTATATGTATAATTAATCCTCACATGAACTACAGAGTAATGCAAGATGTCAATGTTTATGCTTGGTATTATGAGAACGGTGGTTCTTTGATTCATCATTCCCCCAATTTAAATATTTATTATTGTGTATTTTCTCCGTATATCAACTACAGCAATATGATCAGGGCTACCTCAAACAACTACTTGAAAGTCAAAAGACGTTTTTGAGAATGATTTCACCGTCAGACAAGATCCATCTGCACTATTGTTAAGGTGAATGTTTTTCAAGCTTACTTTGTAATTTTTGAATATATTAAATGCAGGCTTGATCTCCCAAATGCATTTTATGATATCCTCTTATATGATTTTCTTATATTTAACTTGGCAATTAGGCAAGATCTCCATTGAACTTATTGTCACTACAAGGTCAATGTTCTTCAACTTTAGAGCCTGAAATATATCAGACTCAAATATTTCTTGCTAGGTTTTAAGACATGTTATCTTGAACCATATGGGTAGTTTGTTTGATGTTTAATTATATTTAACTCTCTCATAAAGCTTAGTATTTTATGCGCTTTATTATGGAGCTAAATCTGGGCCAAAAGTTTTGATAATTCGGAAAAATGTAATGTATTTGATCCTCAACTTTGAAGAATAATACAATGCATTCAAACTAAAAATAAGTATTTGAAAAGTTTACCCAGGTTGAACTTAATTATCTACAGTTATATTGTGGTATTCTATAACTATTGTAGAGAAAGCATTTATTAATATCTACTTCATATTATGTTTCCCTTTTCTTTTTCAAAAGATGAACCTGTCATCTGTCACTGTGACAGCGGTTGGTCGAACTCCAGATTCTTTAATTAAAGCTGTGGCCAAGAATCTGATTGTTGTGATTCTCGGGATCTCCATCAACTTCATCAACACAGGCATCATTCACACCTTCAGAAAACACCAGGTCTGGTATTCCCTTAAAGGTCCCCTATTATACTGTCATCAATAATAAGCTATAGGTCTCAGATATATACAAAACATGTCTCTGAAGTGTTCGGCTCAGCCCTGTTTCCAGAGTGCTGATTCTCTGTCTGTTACTTTAGATGAAAATAAGGAGCCCCTCCCCCACGCCCCTCTGAGAGAGATTTGGTTACAAAGAACTCAATGGTGCTCTAGGAGGAGATTCAGGTGATAAGGTGGGGTGGGGGGTTACCTTGGTTGCTGATTGGCTAATGGTTACACAAGCCAAAACATCGTTATGACATCATAAAGTGGCCAAAATCTGATCAGCTCATTTTCAGACAGGTTTTTATAGAAATGGATCAGGACAAAAAGAGAGGGGGTCTTTGTTCATGTAACTTTCAGAATGTCTTTACACAGAGGGGACACATGTTGATGTATAAAAGACGTGAAAAAGTGGATTTTGCATAATAGGTGACCTTTAAGTCAGTTACTTTCTACTGTATGATGAGAATGAATGATATTTCTTTCAAACTAACACTCCCTATCACAAACAGGCTGATATGAGCTGAGGCTCAGCAGGTAGGGAGGTCGAGACTGAACACTGTTTGGGGTTTTACAGCTTATCACATTCCTCTGAAATTCCATTCACACCACAATGACTTTCCCAAAACTCCCCCAAACATCTGACTCGAACCAAAAACACCAACAGCCTGACAAAGGAGAGGAAAACACAGATACAGTTTGAGAGTATGAGTCAAGGTCAGTTTGTTGTACAGTAGGACTAACAATCTTTACATATTTCCCCTCTGAACATATTTTCTCTGAACTGAACTCATTAAGTTCTCATTTATTTAATAATTATTCTGAAAAGCTTTGTATTCCAAGACACTAAAGCAGAAAAAAAAAGATTAAATGAAAGTCTTACTGATGATCTCTCCTGCTGGTTTGGCCTCGCCGTTGTTGTTGTTGTTGTTTGGGTAAGTGGGAATAGCTGAAGGACAGAGAAAGAGAATCATACTCAGAAATCCTCCATTTTTCCCACAGCGGGAAGATAAACATTGTATCAGCAAACAGTTCAGATGAATGGCAAAATAAAATGAGTTGACTTACATTTTGAAGAAAGAGGCAAGCATGCGTTAATAAAAGAAAAAGAAATGATTATTATCCCCAGTAAAACATAAGAAGCAGCATTGTAAAAGTAAGTTACAACATGAGAGAGAGGGAGATTAGAAAACAGGGAAATAAACAAAAAGTAGTTAGTAGTAGTAGTTTCTATTGAATGTTTAGCTGTTATTATCATTATCGACACAAGACATGTATTTCAATGTCTTGTTTAGTCTGGATATGAAATCCCGAAGCCCAGACGGTGTTTGAGGCGTTTCTGTTGCTGCGACTCACGGTAACAGTCGGGGAAGTTCATGAAGCCGCCGGCGCAGGAGTCGCAGTTCTCTCCGCTGTAGTTTGGTTTGCAGAAGCAGCGACCGGTCAGATCCTCACAGGTACCGTCTGTAAACTCTGACTGACACTCACAGCCTGCAGAGAGGCAGGCGGAGGGAGAAGGAGGACGAGGAGGAAGAGACGTTAAGGCAGGTAATATAACATTAAGACAAAGTTGAAGAGCAAAAAGAAACCATCGATGACATATTCATACATACTGAGTATACATCTAAGTCAAGACCCTAATGACTAATAAAGAGCCACAATGGTGTTCATATGCATGCTAATAAACAGTTACCTTATTATTACTGTTACAACATATAGGTACTATTATATATAACAGTACTTTTGATATGTTCAGTACATGTTGTTATTACTTCTACACATTCATACTAAACCCAAAAGAGAAAAAACAACTCCTTTTAGTGTTGAATATATTATATCAGCATTTGAATGATTTCTGACGGACTCACGTGAGCAGGCCAATGGGGAGTCGATGGATTGGTCAGGTGACCTGTAGAAGGTGGGGATGCAGCGCTCACAGTTCACTCCGGTGGTGTGATGCTGAAAAGAGAAGAGTTTCCATTAGAAGTTGCATCATGACTTTTTATCAGCAACCAAAACGTACTTGAAGAGAGGCAACATAATATAATACACAGAAATGATGATCAGATTTCCACACTGTGAGAGACTGTTATTTACCTGGCAGTTGAGGCAGACGCCCCCCCCTCGGTTGTGTCCGTGCATGTCGATGCTGGCTCTCCTCTGATCCACCTCGGGGTCGTAGTAACAGTCGAAGGAGTGGCGGTGACAGTTACACGCTGAAACACAGACAAATGACACATTTAGAAAGCAGGCAATGGAAAATGACAGTTTTGAATAATGGAAATATTAATAATCGTTTTAACTGCAGTTTTATTTGACAGATAAAACAATTAAAACACAGATGTATGATATTAATAATGATACAACTAAAAAAGTGTGAGATAAGTCAGTTATTTAGTGATGAAATCATTAAATGCACCATTTACTTTGTTAACTTAATAAAAAAAGATCTTAAACTGCATATAATCTATTATTTTGCATGAATTATTCTTTAATAACTATCTGCAGAATTATAATGTATTTATTAAAAACATTAATAAATATTATTTTAATCGTATTATTATTATTATTATTATTATAGGGAGGCAATTAAAAAACGTAAAATGTATAAACTCTTGTTTCAATATAACTGTCAGAGAAACTATGAAACATATTGTAAATGTCACGGGACCTAATTTACTATATGCTACTTCATATATCTCTTCACAAGCAGGTGGAAAGAAAACAGGCACACAAGTTGCACACATGCTCACAAACACACATAACGTATTTGTGACAGTGTTAGTGTTCACCTGAAGGGTTAAAGCTCCTGCAGAGAGACAAGAAGCAGGAGAGGAGAGAATACAAAGGACGAGAGGAAACAGGAGAAGGTAAAACACAAAGCAGTATATGAACACTTAGTCACCTACAGTAAAAGGAACAGTTGTACATCCTTAGAGTTAGGAAATGGACATGCAACGTTTGATCATGTTTTATTCAATATTCCAGCCACAGAAATGCTTCATTACTTCTTCAGTTTATGTTACATCAAACAAACTCATTTCATCTCAGTGCTCTATGAAGTGACTTTGTTGAAATCCGTTTCCTCTGACAGGTGTTCATTAGGAATGAGAGATTACACACTCGGCTGGGGATCGTATTTAGTCTCCAAACAAATTAAGCAGAGAGAAATGAGAGAAGCTGTAATTATCTCAACCAGACGCAGGCTTAATCATTTCCTACAGAACATTTTCATGAAGGTTAGTCATCAGGCTGTTTGTAGATTGAAGTAGATATAAGGTTGGGGATATTTTATGAATCATAAAAGGGTCACTTCACGTCTGATTACAGTCAGTGATCAAAGACTGCTGCAATCTCTTTTAGGGATGATTACATTACACTGTTTGTAGTTCTTTGCAGAATCTTTAAAGAAAAAGACCAAATCTGAAATGTTTGATTTGAACATACGCATAGTTGTGCATTTAAATGTTTCTAGTTCTTCATTGAAACTTTTCTTCACTATGGAGACAACCCAGAAAAGGACTTGTGTTGGTGCTTGAGTAACTGACTCCTTTGATTATGTGACTAAAAGGAAGCGGATGTGTAACGCCGGCACACACGTGACCTCGCCATTCAACATGTACACATCCAGTAAAGAGATTACATACGTCCTTTGACTTCATCTGAGATAAAGTGAGCTGAATGCTTAAGATGTGCGCATGCATGAAATGCAGAGCAGCGTTCACTCTTCACACAGAGTCTGTGAGACCCTGATAGAGCTTTTTGTTCTTCTCTGACCCTCAGCGGCTGAGAGGTGCCGGCTTTATGAACCAGGCACGCTCCTTATCGTCCGCCTCTGATATCACGTTGCCCTTTGGTGACCTTATTGCCATTGTGCTACTCATGTCGGTCCTTGATAAATATAACTGCAGCTTTGATAACAGTCTGCTCTCACATGTAAATATAACCAGAGCTTTGATAAGGACAGAAGGCAGCAGAACGCACTCAGAGGATGTTTTAAGGCATGATCAAAGCTTTTAGCTGATTATCTTGATGAAATGCTTCAAAGGAGGTGATCATAAAGACAATCATAAATGTCTATGACTTTAAGAAAAGATAGTTGAGCTAGTACTAAATTATTAGTGTTTAAATTGTGTGTTTTTAAGATTTCAAACGCAAGTGT